GTCCAAAGTTCTCCTGCGCCTTGCTTGCGACTTTCTTCGACGACGGTGGGACGTACAGTTGAGGCCCGTACTTAAGAATATGGCACTTAAGAATAGTAAATGACAGTAGAAATAAGTCCTAAATATGTTGTTGTACTTCGTATTGGTTCAATATTCATGTAGAGTATGAGANCCCCAATTTGTCCAAAGTTCTCCTGCGCCTTGCTTGCGACTTTCTTCGACGACGGTGGGACGTACAGTTGAGGCCCGTACTTAAGAATATGGCACTTAAGAATAGTAAATGACAGTAGAAATAAGTCCTAAATATGTTGTTGTACTTCGTATTGGTTCAATATTCATGTAGAGTATGAGACATCAAGTGAGAGTTTTCTGAGGTACATCTGCAATTGTCGGAAGGCAAAAATAAATAAATAAATAGTCTAGACTATAGTGCAAAAAAAAACAAAAATTTAGAATTTGTCGGTAATAAGAACACGTGCTCAGATTGCACCTGCAGTTAAGAATAAGAACGCACGCCTGAGGTGTACCACTGCTTCTAAAGATAAGAACAAGAGCACATTCAGCAGCTGCGAGATAAGAACATTCGAACGGGGAGGGGGGGACGGGCGGGGGGATGATCCAAGTATTGGATTTGGCAAGGGGGTAGGTGTGCCGAAGGTCAGTGCATACATACACCTCGGAACTGCAATTTTTGCAGAGGAGAGGGTGGGCACTGCTGTACACGTCGCGCCCCCTTGGCGGCTGCCAGGCCACGCACGTGCAGCGGGCCACGAGTTCCCTGCCGCACAGGGGGATCATGTCCCTGTCCAATCCCTTATCCCATGGGTTGTTGAAAGATCTTGGCAAACTTGCAGAGTTGAAAGGACGGCGTCTGATCCTTGACCGTCACTTCGAGACGATAAAACCACATGTGAACGCGGGAAACTCCGTTGCGAAGGAGCGGTGGGACGCCATCGAGAGCGCGTNTCCCTGCCGCACAGGGGGATCATGTCCCTGTCCAATCCCTTATCCCATGGGTTGTTGAAAGATCTTGGCAAACTTGCAGAGTTGAAAGGACGGCGTCTGATCCTTGACCGTCACTTCGAGACGATAAAACCACATGTGAACGCGGGAAACTCCGTTGCGAAGGAGCGGTGGGACGCCATCGAGAGCGCGTGGGGGTTGAAGCAGAACGGTATCTTCGACGAAGGAGAGTGGATCGCGCAGATTGATGGTGGAATCCAGGGCATTACCAGCAGCACCCGCCTGTCCTTGTCATCCCAACAAGATGCCAGCACCGCACGAGGTGCTGCTGCACCTTCTCAGCACCCACCTGTTGCTGCAGCGGGTACCACGAGGAGGAAGGTGGATCGAGGGAAGCACGCCAGGGAGAGAGCTGCGAAAGGCACTTGAGGCGGCAACATCTGCAACGCGTTCTCGATTGGCAGCGGACAACCTGAGGTATTTTTTTCGCGAGAAGGGTACAGCAATCCCTTCCCTCGCGACTTACGAAGTCGAGTATGGTTTACTAACAACGAGCTTTGCAACGCGTCGCTTTCATCCTAGACCAGGATATATTATGGTGAGAAAAAAACTCACTCTGCCGGGGCTCGATCCCATGACCTGGCCCTTAGCAGGCCTCGAGGTTACCCACTAGACCACCGGGGCAACCGGTATTGTATCCGACGCACGCTGTTGCTTTGTTTTGCTACACAGATGTTTTTTTGTTTTTTTTTTGTTAATTCCCGATAGTCTAAGCAAGAGAAAAAATGAAAAAAATAGGCAAGGTTCCTTAGTCTAATGTGACCCAAACGAAACAGACGTCATCTCCCCACTCTCTCGTGTGATTCACGATAATCTTTCCAAGGAAGTCTTCGTTCAGAGTGCATAGATATTTTTGCCAGCGGCATCCACGGAAGTTTGAATTCAACAGCGCCACAACTAAGAGCGACTGACACGTCACATGGTTCCTTGAATCCCCTACACGGCAATTCCGCCCTTCCCCATCGCACCGAGCAGATTGAGCGGACTCGTGGTGGAGTGAAAGAGTTCGTATCCAGTATCAGCTTCCCGCCTCCGGCCCCGGTGTCCCGCCGATCCTGCCCTCACTGTCCCATGACCTTCGTAAACGAGCAAGGCCTTGGGATCCACGTGAGGACGCAGTACAGCAGTGCAAACATGTCCAACGGCGTACGGCTGCGGCGGATGCTACGAAAAAATCTCGAAGGGCGTGTCCTGCCGTGGGAAGAAGCCGGGTCTAGGCGTTGTTGGCACGTGAGGGTCGATGATGCGACGGGGGCGGCTTCGTTTGTCCTCCAGCGGAAGCGCTTTCTCGATCTAGACTTGGAAAGCGACGGCTTTATGGACCGCGAAACCAAGGAAACTCGTGGAGCTCCCAAGCGCAGGCGATACGACTATAGGTTCAAAGCCAATGCTGTCAACCAGCTGCGCATCCTCGAGGACAACGCCGCGGACCTCTGGAAGGAGGAGGAGCGCACGCCTCTTCAGTACTTAGAGGATCGTCTCAAGGTGCACAACAGCAACATCGTGAAGTGGGCCAAGGACGAGAAGGTCATAGTCGCGGCGGCAGTAGACGACGTGAAGAAGAGCCTCCTCGCCAAGCAGCAGCCCAAGCGCTGGTTTCCTGGGGCAGAAAAGAGGCTATACAAGATGTTCATGGAGCGGCGTAAGAGAAAGCTGAACGTATCGACCCTGTGGCTGACGATCACGTTCCGGAAGCTCGTGCGAGAGATGTATCCCGGGGACCAAGGGGCGGCGGCGTTCCGCGCATCCTTCAGGTGGGCACGGAAATGGCCAAGAGGCACAACCTGTCCAAAAGACCTCGGACCAACCTCAAGAACAAGTCTGTTGAGGAGCGCCTACCAAAGATCCAGCGCTTCCACTGACTGTTTCGCAAACTCTTGCAAGAGCCGGTACGGTACAGGGCGCCCGATGAGTCGGACGTACCGGCGATTACGACGGTCGCAGAGAGGGAGTCCAGAGTTCCCAAGTATGGCCAATTCCAGCTCTGGGAGCGTTGGAATGTGGATCAAGTGCCTTTGGCATTCGTAAACGGGCTGCTCGATACGTGGGAGGAGCGAGGTGCGAAGCGTGTCGCCATCTCACAGCCCTTTCCTGGCCTAGAGAAAAGGCAGTGCACCATGCAAGTCATCTTTGATCCGGGTGTGAAGACCTTGCGAATTTCGGTGATTGTCCGAGGCACGGGGAAGCGGATCTCGCCGGTGGAGAAGGTCGCGTACCACAAGGACGTGGACGGACGTGTTTTTCCAGGAGAATGCTTGGGTCGACCAAAAGTTCTGTATGGAGTGGGCTAAGAGGTCCTACCGCGAAGGCCTGATGCGCGGGCGGGGTGAGCTTCCCAAGGCGAGATCCATTCTCATCATGGACGACTTGCACGCGCAGACGACGGACGAGTTCAAGGCGTATCTTGCGAAGGAGTGCAACACTCTCGCCTGGTATGGCCCTTCGGAGTGCACGGACGAGGTGCAGCCAGTTGATGCAGGAGCCGGACGATTTATCAAGGTGGAAGCTGGGAGGCAGATGGACATGTGGCTCGAGCAGTCGGACAACCTCGAGAGGTGGGAAACCGCGGCGCTGACAGCTTCTGATAGGCGGGTACTGATCACTCAGTGGATTGGAGCGGCCATGGCAAGACTCAACAGCCAACAGGCGTTCCGATTCCGCCTTTCGAAAAGTGCGGGATAGCCATAACTGTGGACGGCTCAGGCGATGATCGGATCACCTTGGAGGGTTTGGGCAAGTCGTACACCTTCGCAAACGATGAAGACTGTAGCGAGAACGAAGAAGGTTGGGAAATGGCAGCGACGAGCCTGAGGGGCGGGGGAAGGAGGGCGATGGACGTGAGACGGTCGTGGAGGGCGCTGATTCCAGCGATGATGAAGACGACGGCGGCAAGTTTGATTTGCACTAGACCTGATCTTTGTCATTTCCTTATTGATGACGATGTCATGTTGATATTATTTGCTTGGATTTTGCTGATGTGCTGTTTCCGCTTTCACGACTACGAGCAAATATGATGGGTTCATGTTGAGGATTGGCCGTGACACCGTACTTCTTGTGGTGTTTCACGGTGCCCCGTTCGCAGGCACGTCTCAAACCCAGACCGATAAGCTAGCTCTTCTCGACGACGACGATAGCATGGACCCACAAGACCCGGAGGACGAGACACAAGGAATGGAGATCCCGACAGGCTTTCGCATTCAAGAAGTTAAACCCGTTGCTCTTGACAGATTGCTTTTGCGACGTGGAGTGCTCGTTCGGCTGGGGATGGGGTGGTTTGGAGGGTTGATCATTCAGCAATCTCAGCAGGACACTCGCCACCTGTACGACTACTGTGTGCAGCTGGAGCTAGACCAGAGTACGCGCAAGATAAAGCTGCCCTTAGACAGGTACACCGGAAATCTGGATGCGGCGGTAGGCTCCTCGGTTTTGCTTGAGAGAGTTAGCAGATCGGGGAGGGTACGCAGGACCAACGTCACCCTTGTGGACCAAGATGGTTGACAGTTGCTGCTGCATGCCTTGGTGTGTTCTTGTACCAAACAACAGCATTGTTCCGCATGCTAAACACTATAAACACTCCGCCGCGTGCAGTTGACAGCCGCCAACAAAGTACGTCGTCACACAACGTACGCCAACAGGGCCAATTGGTGCTGAAATAAGAACAAGAACACTTTGCTAGAGAAAAATGGGACGGCGAAATAAGAACATGGCCAATAAGAACACGTGCTCGGGTTGGGGCAGCCAATAAGAACTGAGCCTCGCTCAAAATAGGAGGTTCTTAAGTGCGGGCCTCAACTGTATACGTTCCCTGGAAACAAATATTTCTCTCCCCCCTCCCCAGGTATCTTAAGCCATAGGCTTTCCTCGAACTCCGTTTTTACCACTAGTCTACTTCCACCACGTCAAACAAGTGTTCCTTGACCAGGGATCCGACTCCCCCCTCCCCCCTTTTCTTCGGGTCTAAGCCCTTTCTTGCCTTCCCTACCCACCGGTATTTCCCTAGTT